GGGCCACCATTGTGTTCTCAATCAACCCAAAAGTCTCCTTAATATCAAAGTTTTATTTTTGGAAGTTGGTGTGTTTTTTTTTTTTTTTTTCTAGATTTGGCCATTTTATGAGGATGTCTGTGTGTGCAGGTAAATATTACTGTGCAGAATTATTAGGCAGCATAATGAAAAAAATATATATACATGTACCCATCTCACTAGTTTACTTTCAACAGGTAAACCAATATAACAACCCAAAATTCAGAAAAAAAAAGATTTGCGACATTCGAAAAACAAAAAAACAAATCATGACCAATAAAGCCACCTTTCTTCACCATGATGCTCAAAAGCCTTACATTCATAGATTCTGTCAGTGTCTTGATCTGTTTGGCGATCCACATTGCATGCAGCAGCCACCACAGCCTCCCAGACACTGTTCAGAAAGGTGGACTGTTTTCCCTCCCTGTAGATCTCACATTTCATGAAGGACCACAGGTTCTCCATGGGGTTCAGATCAGGTGAACAAGGGGGCCATGTCATTATTTTTTTTCCCTCCTTTTAGAATTTTTCTGGCCAGCCATGCTGTGGTGTATTTTGATGCATGTGACGGAGCATTTTCCTGCATGAATATCATGTTTTTCTTGAAGGCTGGCGACTTCTTCTTGTTCCACTGTTTGAAGAATGTGTCTTCCAGAAACTGGCAGTAGGTCTGGGAGTTGATCTTGACTCCATCATCAACTCGAAAAGGTCCCACAAACTCATCTTTGATGATACCAGCCCATACCAGTACCCCACCTCCACCTTGCTGGCGTCTGAGTCAATAAGGAACTTGCTGCCCTCCAGCCTCATGCCCATCCATCTGGCCCATCAAGACTCACTCATTTCATCAGACCAAAACACCTTGGAGGCATCAGTCTTCAGATATTTCTTGGCCCAGTCTTGACATTTTGTCTTGTTCAAATGTGGTCTTTTTTTTTTGGCTTTCCTTACCTTGGCCAGGTCCCTGAGTATTGAGCCCCTTGTGCTTCTCTGCACTCCAGACATGTTGCAGCTCTGAAATATGGCACAATTGGTGGCTAATGGCTTCCCTGCAGCTTCACGCTTGATCCTACTCAATTCATGGGGAGTTATTTTGCGTCTTCTTTTTTTCAACACGCTTTTTGTGCCCCCTTTGGCTATTTGTCATGAACCACTTGATTGTGCAATGATCCTGCTTCAATAGCTTGGCAATTTCCAAAATGCTGTACCCCTCTGGAAGACATCTGACAATTTCTGACTTTTCAGAGTCTGTCATATCTCTTTTCTGACCCATTTTGCCAAAGGAAGTTGCCTAATAAATAAGCACACCTTATATAAGGTGTTCATGTCATTAGGCCACACCCTTTCTCATTACAGAGATGCACATCACTTGATTTACCAATTGGTAGTTGGCTTTCAAGCCTATACAGCTTGGAGTAGGACATGTATGAAAAGGATGATGTGGTCGAAATACTCACTTGCCTAATAATTCTGCACACAGTGTATTTCAGAGTAATATGGAGAAACATATCAGTTGATTTCGTAGGTGAAGTATGAAGGGCCAATCGTACCATAATTAGGAGTGGTTAGAGAAATAAATAGATGGCTCATAAATAATAACATAAATCGTTAGAGAAATAATGGCTTGTGATTTAAATTATTAAGCTATTAAATGCAACAAAATGATAAAAACTAGATATATTTAAAACTTATACATCTATTTTGATATATATAATATATATATATATATATATATATATATATATATATATATATATATATATATATATATATATATATATATATATATATATACATAACCATTCTATTTTATCTCTGTGCTTTCATTCTTATTTTTTATTCAAACAATGGATATTTAGATTTTTAGAATTGAATGCAGGTGGCAAGCTGAGTCGTTTAACTCGTATCTAACCTAATAGTACCACATATAGCCTTATGCTATTGTTAAGTTGTATTTGCATTTATTGCAAACCTCTTTAACCAGCATCTGTGATGCTGCTACGGAAGCATGGTTAAGATTAAAAATGGGGAGTTTTTCATGTTATTTAAAATGTTTTAATTGTCTTTACTGATTTGTCTTTTTTTTTTATCCCCTTGATTTCTTAAATGGTGTTGAATATTTCCTGCAAACCATCGATATTATTGATATTGAGTTTGAAATTTTAGTATTGTGACAAACCTATCACCCACTGGTTCTATTACAACGGTCGTGTACATACCCTTCATCAGTGTTAGTGAAGAAACAGAAAAAAAATGTATGGGACTCCTCAGTAGATGACTAGCTTTCTATTTCTCTGTGTTTTTTTTAAAAACTCCTTCTCTACCCAGGGGCCCAATGAAAGTGAGAGTGAAGATGTCCCCATGGATGCTCAGAGTAAAACCGAAGGGGAGGGAAGCAGCAGCAGCAAGTCGGACATCCTGTTAGTTTGCAGACCGAGCGACGGCAATGCTGCAGTGAAAGAAGTGCCACTTGTGACCAAACAGCACAAAATGTTGCAAGTGAACTTGGATAAACCACAGGACTGTGACGAGTTTTACTTCATGAACCTGGCGAAAATGTTCAAAAAACTGGCCCCTTCCAAAAAGACAGATGTCAGGATGAAAATCGAGAGAGTCCTCTTTGAAGCTGAGTTCATGTAGAGGTTCATGGTTCATCATTTCCAACATTTACCCTTTATTATACAGGATTGGGGTTGATTTAGCTTATTGCATCTGTTAGCGTTACTGCTCGGTATTTTGACTCCTACAGTGTTTCTTTATTTTGCCTGCAAGCCAGCCGTCTCCTAATTCACAGAACCATTCTATCACTCTAAACTTTTAGCAAAATCTATACTGCTTACATGTGCAAAAACTCACAGGCTGCCACTCATTTAAGAGGCTCTTAGGTTTCATGTACATATGAGCTATAAATTGGAGTCATGATGGTAATACCTGCCTTTTCCCCACTTATAGTTTATGGCATTGATCATAAATAACTGAATGTTTTACAGTAGTCTCTGACAGAGACAGCTACTTTGATGACATTCCTTTAACTGGCTGCATTTCTTTATCCAACCTGTTTTTGTTAAATGAATTCGTAGAGCGATGCAACTGAAACTGTTTTTTTTTTTTTTTTTTTTCCTAAGTTGATCACGCATAAAAGTGAGGTGTTTAATCTCATCACTGTTTGGCATTAAATATTTTCCCAATGAGCTGGAAAAATTAAACTGATTTATTCAAAATTCTAAAAATGTGTCTTTTTTAGTATTTCTCTTTATGTATTTTAATGTTCTTAAATATTCATGTGTAGTTGTGGAAGAATTAGTCTGCTTAATCGTGATTAATCAATTATTGAAATAATTGTCAACTTGGTGAGTAATTGATCAATTGTTAGCTTAACATACGGACTCTCACACATGCCAATAGCTGCAAGAGCAACCCAGGTGGAGCGGTAATTATGCCAAAATTGTAAAGATTATATAAACATCATGTAAGATAACATAAAAACAATGTGCCTAAGTTTTTATAGTCAATAATTATGACAAAAATGAAAACTGAGGAAAAAATATTTGATCCCCCAAACAAAAAAACAGGCTAGAACAATCCTTGCTGGTGAGACAAGGGATGAGACATTTCTTCTTTTAATAGTTGGGCTTTAGGCCTCTCTGAAAGGATCCTCCAGTTTGTCTCTAAGGCTGAATCCCAAACCGCCCACTAAGCACTAACCTTTCACTATCAAGTCCCACTTGCAGCTGTGGAAGGTGCCTTGATTGAAGCTGGGGGCTATAAACCAGAATGGGATGGCTTCTTCCCTCCAGCAGAAAAGGAAAACAGTTGTCTCTATGGCAACATGGTGACGCCCCATGTGCATGGCTGTAGCTCTGTGCCTCAGGTTCACATGACACTAAACATTTACCCGTCTTAAGACAAATGTTGGGGGCGGCAGTGGTGTTGGAAGGAGTTTGCGCTCCAACCAGAAGGTTGTCGGTTTGAGCTCTAGCTTTCAGTATTGTTGTGTCCGAGGGAGGTCAGAGGGACTGGGGGCGCCAGTGTACAGCAGCCTCGCTTCTGTCAATGACCCCCGCTGCTGAATTCCAGCTGATTGACACTCCCTGAATAATTCACTCGACCTACCCACTATGTGGTTCGGGATGGCCCTTCATTTTGCAGACCCTCAGTGGGACAGCACAAATGGAGGGTTAGGTTTGGGATTGGACCCCCATGTTTCCTGACATCCATTTTAAAATTAATACCTTCAGCCTCCTCCACAGGTTTTCTACTGAGTTAAGGGGACTAACTAGGTCACTCCATGAACCTCCTTGGCTTCTCACTGAGCCACTCCTTTGTTGAGTCATTGTCATGCTGAAGACCCACCCATGCCCCCCTCTTAAGTGTTTCTGCTGAGCAAAGCAGGTTTTGAGCCAAGATTTTATGTTACACGGCCCCATCATCCTGTACCCTTTGCAATAATAGCACCAGCAGTTCTTGTGCAAGAAAACTGTTTTAAAATATAACCTATTTTTTGACAGGTCATTGGTTTTTTACCATGGTGCAAAAGTGATTAATATGCAAAAAAAAGATTCATAAAGTAAATGTGCTTCATACAAATGAGGTGTTAAGATCAGGGGTGTGGTAATTATTTGATTGTGCACAGATGTGTGTGACGTTGCAGTAGTTGCTGGGATTGAATACTTATTTCACAATTCAATAAACAGACTTTTTTTTTATCTTTCATACATTTTCGACTGATATTCTGTCATTTTGCAATAATTAGCAGTAAGGAACCATTAAAAAAGAGTTGGTTAATGTGTTTGTGAGTTGGGAAATTGACAGCTTAACAGCAGATCAAATATTGGATCCCTGCATGTATAAAAGCTGAGATGCTCCTCCTATTACCTACTACTGCATCCTCAGTGTAGTTCACAAAGATGCTTTGCAGCAAGAGGAACAAAGCATTATGCATTTATGAACAAACGCATGCCACACTGAAGAGATTATGTTGAACATTTAATCTTAGTCTCACACCAACAATGAGTTACAAAACAAAAATAAATGTAAATCTATTTTTTGTGCACATTTTCCTTACCGGTATATTTCACATCAATTGTACAAATCATCAAATCAGAACAAAATTACACAGTTTAAATTTCTGTTAATTACATAGAATCTATCAGCTGACCTGTAAGTGAGGACTACTTATGTGGTAGCCTTACTAATGTTGGAGACTGTCCTCTTTTTTTCTGGTTTTTGTGTTTTCTGGAGCAGTTAGACGTAACAAAAAGTCCTCCACAATTTCATAAGTTTTTACAGAAGTAAGAAAAAGCTTAAAAGGAGTTTAGCATCTGTCCTGTGCATGCTGTTAATGGAGTTAAACCCTTATAGGCTGTAAATTGCCCAAATAAAATACATTTTTATACATAAAGCTTCTAAAACTACAAATAATCAAAGCAGCACTCCTTGAGTCACCAAAGGCTGGGATGTTAAATAATGTAGCCATGTAAACATGAAAAAGTCACTAATAAAAAGTGCTATAGGTGTTAGAGTCCAAACTATTCAGCAGACATGATCTCCATATAGTGCCAAATAGAAGAGGTCGTCGTTCCACAGCTTGGTGGAAGAAATGGATGAGGAAAGATTGGTTTTAGTCATCGCAGCCCAGCAGCTCCATGCGTAGAGTGATGCGCTCGTGCCATTCCCAAGGGATGACCCGTACATATTGAGCGTAGAACGGGGGCTCAAACACGTTCTTCTTGTGAGTGTTGTTGTCAATGTTTCCCTGGAAAATCTAAAAAAAAAAAAAAAAAAGTGATGCATTTGTAATTTTAATAAAATCATAGCACTTTTTTAAAACTAGATAAATAAAATATAATTCTCCTGCACTTGGTTTAAAATCAGATGATCAGTGAGCCTCAACTGGCCGCCCCAGGAGAAAACTTTCTGCTTACATCCCATCTTCACCAATGTTTTCGTAATCACCAATAGAACTGAGCGCATGCCTCAGAATGTAATACCTGTACTAACAGATTAAAATGCTTAAAAGGTGTTTTCCAGTTTAAATTGGGGCCTGTCAAATCTAAAAATTATATGATGAGAAATTATAAATAAAAAAGACAAAATTTGAGGAAAATTCTGTAAACTGCAGTTCTCTCTCCCATTAATGACACTCGATCTGATCTGACGATCAATGAAAGAGCTCCTCCTCATCAAACGACGTATTCGCCACTGTCATAGCTTATAGCATATCACTGAAATTTTTCAATTTTTACACAATTTTCTCTTCTTTTTTATAGAGTAGCTGCTTAACATCAGTCTTCTGTGATTTTTTACCAGCTCCACCAATTATTTTTTTCCTTTCTCTGCTGCCCTTTGATGACAACGTGTAAAAAGATGAAAAGAAACAGAAGAAAAAAAAAGACATTGAAAAATAAGCATCTGTCCTGCCTGCAGGTTAGCTCCACATTAAACAATGTAATTATAAAAACTCTATTTTAATATAATACCTATTTATTGGTTGAGATGTTAAAAGAATGTTTGTGCCATTTGTGACACAGGTATAAGGGCCCCTAACAGTTCATATCAAATAAATAAATTAAAGCTCTTTTTTATTTATCTCTACTGTCCTTGTTCAAAGCTACAGTGTGTCATTTTCAGCGACATCTAATGGTCAGACTGCAGCAACATAAACCGCTTCCCCTCCACTTCTCCCCCTCCAACAATACAGAGGTCGTCATGGTACAAAATGGCTTCTGCAACGTCTGCATCACTTCTTGTGAAGTAATGATGAGGTTTGTTTACATAGATTATTTTATAAATAGTATTTTATTAGATATATATTTTATATAGGGCTAACTTGCCACAGTGAAGCGGAATGGCGATACCTACATTCATTAGTTTGTCAGCTCCTTCTTAATTGTAAATAGCAATTTCCAAGGCAACACAAACATAAAGATTGATTCTTTAAGCTGGTAGATGATAAGTCACAAACATATGTATAATATATTGTATTTCTATCAGTAAATCCTTGTATATATTACACACTTTAGCTTTAATTCATTCATATTTGTTTGCTAAATATTTGTGAATTCATATCCTTAGAAAATAAATGTTAAAAAGGGACAGAAGGGCATTCCTTTCTCTTCAAAATAGGAAGAAGAGAACATGTTCTTCCAGCAAGATATGGTGAAGATGGTATAAAAAAAGGCAAATTGTTTACATTTTCCCAAATTTACAGTTAAATCAATTAGAAAGGTGTTATAAATGAAAAATAAGATATTATGGATGAACATTTCAAGTATTCAGACCTTATCACCACCAGTGTTCTCATTTTTCACGATACTCCATGACTCTCCATCATTGCTGTATGCCACTTTAAACTCTGAAACAAACTGCACCACTCCAAAGTCTTTAGCTCCCTGAGTGACGATGCCTGTGAGCTGTTTCGTTTTACCAAGATCCACCTGAGGAGTTAGCAGAGAGAAACAGAGTAAGAAACCCCAGATTGAACTGGATTTTAAGTATCACTAATAGAACCAATAACAATTGTGTTTTCATAAAGTTTTCTGAACCTGGATCCACTCTGAGCGATTGTTTTGAGCAGGAGACCAGGCGTTCGTCTTCCCCGCCTTGTCCAGCCGGGCAAACTGAGGGTGCCAGGTGAAGGTATCGATTCCCCACGTTCGGAAAGTGCTAGAGGCTGAAAGCTGGTCGTCAGAGATGAGTCGAGATTTCATTCCCAGGGGCTCGGAGCAACCTGCCGTGTTTGAATAAACTGTAAATCAAAAATAACACAAAACAAAAAGAAAAAAGGGAAGGGGGAGGAGAAGGAAAGAGCAGAAAAGAAAGAAAAAAGACATGAATACACCCAGAAGAACCTTGCAAAGAAAATTCAACCCACAAGTGATTTTAACCAATGTAACACCAGGCAGTTATAAAAGAAGTGGAGAGTAGAGAGAGGCAAGAGACAGTAGCAGAATGTAGGCAGCAAAGAGCACAGAATTACTACAATCTCTTCATATTAACCCTGATTTCATGGAACGATTTCAGTTACTGTTATTTTCTGCCTTGAGTTCAAATTAGATCAAGTATTATGAACTGCTTTTTATTTTTGAGTTAGCTTTTTAAAAGCTTCAAATATGTAGATGTTTACCATTCAGCTCACAGCCCACCAGCTCCATGCGCAGGGTGCAGGCCCTGCGGCAGACCACCGGGATGATGCGGATGAACTGGGCTACAATGGGGGGATCAAAAAGGTTGGTCTTTGTGCTGTCGTTGTCAACGTTACCTACAAAAACCTGCAGCCCACAGATGCACAGAAGGATTGAGCATGCAGAAGGTAACTAAGAAAAAACAGGCAGGTGTTTTGTTTTGTTTTTTTTTAAAGAAAAAAATCACATCAGACCTTATCTTTTCGAATGCCGTCTCCTTTAAATGTGACATAGCTGATACCATCCAAGCTGCTGGCCACTTTAAAGGCCTTGATGTATTCTGCTGAGCCCATGCGGCTGGCTCCCTGAGTGATGATGCCTGTCAGGCGCATCTTCTTTTGCATGTTAATCTGAAAAGAAACACGGAAGTGTTCTTACAAAGAATGCTCACTGGCCCAACCTTAAAGCCCTCACGTCCCTCACCTCAATCCAAGGGTTCCTGTCATGGCTGGCGGACGTCCAGGCGTTGACGATGCCTTCGTTGTTCAGTCTGGCCAACTCTGGGCCCCAGCGCTGTAGACCCAGAACACCGTAGTGCACAGAGGACGCAGAAATCTGGGACTCCACGATCGCTCCTCCTTCCATACCCAAAAGACTAATGCAACCTAGGAACCAACATAAATTTTGATATTTAACAACGACTTTTCTCTTTCATAAAGCTAATGTTTGACTAGGGCTACCCTTTGGCACTTAAGAATACCCCAAACTACATTAAGTTATTCTGCAATTCATATAATATTTTATGTTTTCTAAAGAAAAGCAGTGAGTAGATATGTGTAGAAAGTGTAACTGGGGAAACATACGTAGCTGGCATTGTTTCCCAACATACGGAGACGGACACTGGCAGGTGTAGTCTCCATCAAGATCTCGACAGATCCCTCCGTTTCGACAAGGCTCTTTGGCACAGTCATTCACATCTGGAAGAAAAACACAGCAACCTTTTAACCCTCAACAGCTAACAGTTAACAGGAAACTGGAAATAATAAGCTTGTGATTGTTTTCAGAGGTCTGATGAACAAATGGAAGAAAATGGAGGAGCTGGTGTAGCTGATTACCCCCCAAAAAAACAACATTTGGGATAATTTTCTGTGGGAGTAATTTCTAAATATAAAATAGTGAAATAACAGATAATAGGCACATCGATAGCAGAATTAAAGCTTTTGCCCAAATCTAAAGCAATGCACAAACATCTCCACAAGGTAGAGCTCTTATACAGATAGACCTACATCTGCAGGTTAAGAGATGACAGCTCACCATGTGTCACTCTTTCCATACCTCCATAAAAAATACTTTTTTTTTAACTGTAACTGTGACATAAGAGCGGTCATGATCCACCAGGCAACAAGGGGAATGATGGATGGTGCCCTTTCTATCCTCCCCGCGGCTTACCAGGCATAAACAAATAGAAGCTCAGAGGTTAGAACAACCCAAACAACCCACAGTAGACAGATTGCAGTGGCACATCTGTGACTTTGGCAACAACAAAAAGATTATCCTGATCTGTAAGCCTGGAAAACTTGACCGAGTTTATTTTGAACCCACTGCAACTGAACCAGGTCAGTGCATCTTAGATCCAAATTAAACACTGCTTCTGAATCACAGTTAACTAAATATGTTAAATAATGTTAATAGGAATGCATGTTCATTCATGATTAATAGGAGCATCTTTTCAGGCATTATTGCTTAATTATTTGTGTAATAATAATTTATTGGTGGTTTATTCTAGCGTACAGGACTATATCAGGCATTAACAACTAATTTCCCTAAAGAGCTACATGAGTAACTTGGATTTTTGTTGATCAATGGCTAAGTTTGATTACAAAATTATGCACCTCTTGATATGATTTTCCTTTTGATCAGCTTGAGGTAACTGTAACTGAGGTTCATGGATTATCAAAAACTGCATTCTGTGATAGTTTGAATTTCAGGATGGGCCTACATTGTATGCACAGAAGATTTGACTAATGTAAAACTTGTAAAAAAAAAAAAAAAACATCCTTTCATCATTATAGATACTGTACAAACGTAGGTTTTTATGTTGCATGCAAACTTTCTGCATGTTGAAACTCTGCATTTCTTTTAAACGGGACGAGGTAGTTAGTTTCATATGATGGGCAGGATGTAGACCTGGTTGTATTCTTCATTCTGCCTGGCCTACAAATTGCAGTGGATAGGAAGAGGAGCTGAGAAGGTGATTAGAGTGTCCCTGTCCTCTGTCTAGGACTATGTGAGATAAACTGCAGAAACCAGACACTAACCCTTGTCAGAGAATCATTGCATCCCCTCTACGGACGTTCTGATATTACAGCAAAATGACAGGCAGAACCATCAGGTGGCTGTAGGTGTTTCTTTCTCTAGCTGTGCTAAACACTTTGTTTTTTTATACTTATTTACTTGGTTTTTATGCATTTAATAATAGCTTCCAGCTGACATGTTGAGAATAAGAGAGAAATACAACTGTTCTCTATCGCAGCGCTAGGGTGTAATATTTCCTTAACTATCTGCTTTCAACCTAAAAGGATATTTCAAATTAAACCAGACAACATGCTGATGTAATTCCAGTTGAATCTGTTTTGGATCTTGTTCCTTTTAATGCTAAGAGGATTGGTCACAAAACGAATGCCTAAATGGCTCCAACACTGCTGGCTCAGTGCAGCTTACACGTAGACTGATTTGGATGAGAAACAAACTGGGAAAAGTAAAACGTACAGTGACTCACTAAAGTATTCATATCCCTTAATTTTACTTTTTGTTAGATTAAAATCACAAACCTGCCCTCTAGTTTTTAGGTAACAGACTAATAAGGGCATAATTTAGGGCCTAATTATGAGACAGAAAGAAGAAATCTATAGTTGCTAAGATGTGTTACAATTTTGAAACCTGAACCTATGCTCCTTTTTTGTGAAAAGGACAGAAGTATGAAATATGCTTTTTTTCCCTCTAACACCCCTAATGTGGATCCTATCTTACCACAGAGATAAAGGCAGCACCATAGGGAACCGCCTCATGGTGGGGCCCTTGGCAGCCATAAGAACGCGCAAAAGGCAGCATTCTACGGCACGCATGGCCTCAGTATATTGTTCCCCCTGTCAGCCCTGGATTCACACAGACGAAACATTAGTGGCAATCTGCTAATCAATCTACTAGTTTTAAGGGTATCAGAATTAGGAGGACTAATTATGAAAATATCACATATTTTAATTTTCCTTATATTTAACTGAAAATATATATATTTTTAAATTTAGTATTTTGGTCCAAGCTATAAAACGATGCTGTCAGGTGAAATGGGACAGTTAAATTCAAACTGATGTTGCAATGCAATGTTTGTAGGTAAGGCTGATGCAAAATTACAAATGTTTAGGAGCAGATAGGGGTGTTTAAAAAAAGTATAATAAGTACATATTGCTTAAACAGTCTTCATTATTTTATCTCTTAATTATTTATCTGCATTTTCCAAATATCCCATCTTTCACAATAAACAGCTGATTTTAAAGGACCTGCTTCCCAAGCTGAGAATTGAAATTCTTCACATGTTTGGGCCAGGCTTCAGCACAAATGGATGCAGTGTTGACCCAGAGAGGAATACATCTGAATGCTAAGAGACTTAGAGTGGTCTTTCACTAATTAGCCAAACAAAAACACCACAGATTCCACTGAATGAAACCCTTTCATACATCTACTGAGCAACACATCTCTCCCACTACTGATGTTGGCGTTAGCAATCCAAAAGGATCATATTCACCGGTAATTCATTTCCTTCCTGTTTACTTGCACAGTATTTAAAACATACTTTCATTTTATGCACAGCAAAAAATTTAAATCTAGATAGGTCAGTTCTTCTTAAAATAAGTGCAAAGTAAGATACTTTGCCAACAGAATAAGACAATTTATATTAAAAATATGAAAAAAACAACTGAATTGTCTTATTTAAAGCGCATAATATTTAATTATCTAATTTAAAGAATTAAATTATTAATTCCAATGGCAGGTCAGCTTATGTAGCTACTCAAATTAAGCATAAATGCATTTATTTTAAGAATTATTTACTTATTGCAAGAGTTTTTGCAGTGTAGCAACATGTTTTTTTTAGTAATTCTTTTAATTAAATGCCTTATGCTGACACTAAATTAGTTATAACCCTTAGCATTAATGTGCAATGGAGTTTTAAAAGTCAAAAGAAAAGAAAAAAGCAACCAAAGGTATAAAGCAGCAACAGCTTACTGATCTGGCAGTGCACGCCTTCAAAGCCAGGCTGACACCTGCAGACGTATTCATTAAAGACATCCCCTCTTCTTGTCGGAGTGATGACCTCACAAGACCCGTCATTCTTACACGGGTTAGGGTTGCAAGAGCCTGGAAGAAGAAGGAGGTTTGAAATCTGTTTTTTTCCCACACATGGTTTTCAACTGTCCTTTCCTGCTCTACCTGTCTCTGTCAGGTTACACGTGTCTCCCCCAAAGCCGTCCGGACAGATACAGATGAAAGGATCCTCTCCTACTCCCGTCACACATGTCGCTCCATTGTGGCAAGAATTCACCTCACAGTAGTCACCTGAACATGGGAGGAAAAGCGAAAATGAGAGGATTATTAGAAATAGCTGCAGTAGATTAACTCCCAAAGAAAATTAAGTAATAGTAAGGAAAACTCAGGCTGTTGGTGGATAATGCATTTACAAAAAGAAAGAATTGCAATTTTTAGCTTTGGTAAATGTTATAAAGAGAGGAAATAGTGACTTTTATATCTTCAATTAAAACAGCTTTCTTTCTCAGTTTAGTAGTAACTTAATCAGAGGAAACTATGATGTTAAGTAATAGTCTGGCTTACTTAAAAATACAGAAAAATATCTTATAAAGTATATTCCTTAAAGGATTTTATAACAGTTTCACTAAATTAAAGGTTGGTAAAAAAAATATTTTCCATTGCATTTCAGAGAAACCTCTATTCATTGTTCTGTGGCATATTTAGTAAATATTTGAGCTTTTGATGCTGAACAAAAATGATTACAGGGCAATAAAAAGCAAGCATAGAAAACACATTTTCTATATGTTTCTCATTAACAAATATGAGCACAAACAGCAAAATACTATGTATGAAAGCAGTCACTTGTTTACAGGGTTATACTTTTTTAAAAATCAATGTCATCTCAAGGCACTTTGCAGATAATTCAGTTTGAAAACCATTTGATCACCTCCAGTCATTGAATTGCAGGAAATGCTCCACCTGGATGAGCTACAATGATTTTCTTTGTATTTTATTTTGTCATTGTTCTCTGTAAATTTCACATCAAGCATTCATGCAGCGACAGTGGAAAGGAAAAACTCCCTTTTAACAGGAAGAAACCTTTAGCAGAACAAGGCTCAATGTGAACAGCTTCCTGCAGAGACCAAGTAGGGGGTCAAGGAAATGCAAGCAGACATACAAAGAGTTTGATATCTTAAGCTTATTTTATAAGCTGCTTGGATAGTTAGCTGAGCAAACATTTCAGAATCTAGCATTTTCCCCTTAGGGGTTAACCCACAGAAGAATAAAGCAGAGCAACTGTCTTTAAAGTTTTCAGCTCTCTCATTATCTGCTGAAAGTCATGCCCTTTTTCACACTCTAAACGAAGTTCATGCCAGGACATTTTGTGGAAAACACAGCTATTTTTTAAATAGCTTCTTAAAGGTTGTAATACACCATTTATAGGGAAGGGTGTAGTTTTATTGTTTGGGTTGTAATTTTACTTATTTTATGCTGTCTTATTTAATATTTTATTTGCTCTATTGTACTTACAATCTTATTTTTCTCTCTTCTATAAAGGGTTGCACTGCAAGAAAATAATTTCCCGCAAGGGATTAATAAAGTAATTCTGATTCTGATTCTTACATCACATCCTTTTTATCTGATTTCTGGTTTTAAACCCCACATAAAAGAAAAGTTAAGAGGTTTCGTTTGTTGTCTTTTTACTCACACCAAAAACTGTAGTGGTCAGAGCAGCCGGGTAGCTTTTAGTGTGGTGCGTTCAGCAAGTGGGGAAAATATTTTCAGGCTTTAAAGGATCTCATTAAAAAAAATTAAGAAGACTAGAAGGATAAATAGAGAGGTTGATTTCTGAAGAAGGATGGCAGATTAGCTGACAGCAGATGTACTGAATAAAAGAAGGAACTATGAGGGTCCAATAGACAAGAAGGACAGGATAAACACAGAAGACAATGAAAAAAAAAAACTATATTAGACATTAATATATTATAAAACCTGATACAATGTCAGCAATCATGGGAAATAAAGTAGAAGGTTAAATTAATTGTGCATTGAGTTCTTCAACTTTTAACCCTATCTGAGTAAATAAATATATCTAAGTCAAACTATAAGGGTCAACCTTTATATGTTAGCCTCATTACATAAATATTCTGTCAGGGTTCTGCCCTTTGTTTAGGTTTATTTTTAGTTTCTTTGTAATTTTGTGTCTTTGTAGTAGTTTTCAGACAGGATTGTGTTCTTGAGTAACTCTGTGCTGCCTACTGGTGCCTGTTTCCTTTCCCTTGGCTCCCTACTAGTTAGTTCCATTCACACCTGCTCCATATCAGCTCTTTAGACCATCCTTTGTTCTGTTCCTTTTTGCTGGTTTGTCATTGTTTTGTTGCTTTGTCGTTTCTTTGCTCCCTGTGTGTGTTTTTTTTCCACCATCTTCTGATTTTTTTGTTTTTTTTTTGCTTTTTTTGCCCCTGTTGTCTCTTTCATTAAATCAGCAAAACTCATCTCTGCATTCGGGTCCTCAACCAACCTCCACCTAACGGTACCATTCCCTGAGTCTTGACCTCTGCTGTAGAAAAACTGAGAATTTATAGAAATGCAGTAAACATTTATAGCTTTTCCCATTGTGTTAATGCATAAGCTCTGAGTGTTTGAATCCACCCTATTGAAATCTGTCACCTCTTTCACATTTATCAAAAGACAATATTTCAAGATTTGTCTAAATCATTCATTATCTAAATTCATTATCAGTGGCATCTCTGCTTAAACTGGTACCTCCGCCACCTGGCCTCGGATAAAGTGGAAGAAATTGAATGGAATTATTAAAGTTTCACTCAACTATGGCCTGTTGTACCAGAATATCCTTTCCTCATACAATGTAAATCATTGATTTTTTATCTAATGAGTCAATGAGTATCAGGAAAAAAAAACAAGGTGGCACAAAAATACAAGAAAAACATTTATAAAATCAACATTCTGGCATTTGGACATCTTTAAGTCATATTAGTTTCATCTGAGCCGACTAGCTGTGCTTAATACAAAAAAGATCAGTGAAGGGGTAAAAAAAAGAAAAAGCTGGAGGCACCTGGAAAATAAATCCTAGAGCAAAAATAAACAAAAACAAGTACCTAGGCATTAAAGGATAATTATAAACATAAAGAAAGCTGTAAGTAGTTTGCTCTCACTTGTGAATGCACGGGAGACATCCAAACATATTTATCCTCTGGATTAGGATCTAGCTGGATTAGCTGGGTTGTACAGAAGCATGCAGTCCTTTTCCAGACTCTCAGCAGTTACTCAACATTACAAAGCAGCAGCTCAGGAGAGGCTAAGGACACACACAGCACACCTGACCAACATGTGGTTGATGAGCAAATATACTGTATGTATAAAAATATCACAGCAAAAAAGGTTGATTCGTTTAGTAAAAAGAGCCAAAACAGCTGGTGACCACAAAGCTGACTAGTACACCGTAATTCCTCCAAGTCAGCTGAACGGTTGCTGGTAGAACAGAAATTAGGTGAGCAGACAGCTGGTTCTGACTTATTACAGACTGGAGCACATATGGTGTTATTTCCTGCACCATCTGCACAACCTCAGTGACCAGAAAGCTGTCAAAGAAATACCAATGCTTTAAAAGAACAATGTTTGATTGAATTTGGAGCTCCATCAAAATGTTTGTTGACTTCTTTGGTTAGAAAAGAATCAACCAGGGACAAATCTACACGCAAGGAGACAATTCAAATTCAATCTTTGTCATATAGACATGACTAATTCCCAGGTTATTGTGAAAAAAACCCACACACAGTTTGAAAAGACATAAGCAGAAAAATGTAACTGATGCTGTTATTTCTCTGCTGTTGACATGATTTTAAGAAGTTTTCTAATGTAAGTTTATTTAGACTTCTTTCCTCCACTTGTCCTCATCTATATGTGTTGAAGCTTGATGTTCAGATCCAGGGACTGTCATCATTTTAAAACTTTAAAACCCTATAACGCAGATATAAAGAAATGAGGAATGACTCATAATGTTTGCACAGCACTGTGGAATATGCACTGCAATATGAATGGTGCACAATACATATCACAAAACCACTAAGCAAGCCTTTATTTTGACAACCGGTTTGCTAGAAAAAAAGAAAAAGAAAAAAACAACCTCTGAGCAAAATAGGGCTTGTAATGACAGTCTAACATATAATAACAGAGCCAAGTCACATTTAATAGCCGGTCTACCATGACAATAATACCCTGGTAGCCTGAGAGGATTTGATCCAAGTGTTCATTAAAAGTAAGACATATTCTGCTAAACTTTGTAAAATCTCTCATTCATTGATTCCACCCAGGATTGCTTAGAGACAAAAAAGAAGCAAAACTAATCAAGCAGGTTATGTTTGTCTTACAGATCACAACCAAATGGAAATGAAGGGAAAACACTGTACTATGGAAAATAAGAGCTCATACAGAGTTTATACTATGAGCCAACACCCAAAAGGCAATAAACAACATTTTTCAAGGAGTTACACAGCAATTGTGATTTGAAAAGTGTTGTTTCGGTTTATTTATGAAGACTTACCTCTGATTGAACACACGCAAATCAGCAGACAGAGGGCTCCTGTAGTTATAACCCCTGGGACTTTCATAATTGTTTCCCTGACTTTGATCCGTGAAGTTGAGTTGGGTCCGAGCTGCGCGTCACCCTGATTCCGACAAGTGCTGCTTTTAAATGCTGTCGGAAATATCAGTCTTCGGACGGAGTCGCTGCTCCATAAAGCTGGGATCTTTTTTCTGATTGGCTAATTTTCGAACGAGTTGACGCCATGTGATTAAAGTTTACGGGCAGCAGGGGCGGAGCTAGATGGGGCGCCAGGGGTGGCCATGGCCACCCTTAGCCAATCATTGGCCACCCCTACCATTTTTTCCCCTCTAATACAGATGATGGCAACAGTAATACTCTCAAGTGGAATATTCAAAACATTTTAATTTTTTTAAATATTAACAATAACTTGACAACAAAAACACTTTGGTTAATTATGCACATCAATATACTAACATTAAAGATGATAAATACAGAACTCAAGCAGAAATAGATTTTGTGTTATATGGGCTAAAGAGAAAATGATGTGTCTCTGCAGGTCATCTATTAGTCACAGTAAAATCATAGATTAATAACTGTTTTCATAAAAACTTATTGAATAATCAATTTATGTAGATAGGCTATTAGTACTTGTAAATATCAGTTTTATGCAGTATGATTATTGATAAAAGTAGGTAAGTAAAGACAATGGAAATTATGTTTGCCCAAAACTCAAACCTCACTGAATTTTATCCACTATACCTTCTATATAGAAAGCATGGATGTTTGAATATATTCGTCTATTTGTTAGCAAAGGCTGTGGGAAAATATAGTTTGTCTTTATCTAGAAAATATGGATGTTTTGCTCGTTAATTTTCCTTTTGGAACAGTGTAGATTGACCCTGAGATTTTGGTGCCTATCTACTTTTGACCACCCCTCTGTCTACATTGGTTATTGCCTGGCAATCCTTATGAAAAGTTTCTGTTTACGCCTCTGCGTGGGTAGGGTGAGCGCTGGGAGATATTTGACGGGGGCGGGCTGGAAAAAACCGTCCCTCCTTTTCTATGTATTTTAACTTTTGTTTACCAACATATAATCAGTTTTATATATCAAGAAAACAACAAACACTTAATTTAGCACCCAATGCAAGAAGGCTTTCATAACTGAAAACATTAATACCACCATGGAGGGGGTAGAAGGGTTATTGTCCATTGCATAAATATGTTTTTCTTTCATCTTTATTTCAATTAAAGAATAAACAAGTAAAAAAAACCTATTAAAAAAATAAATATGTAAGGGGGAATGCCAAATTAGTTAAGTATATAAAGACAGGAGAAAAGAAAGAATAAAAAGATAAACATAGGCTGAGGAGTATCAGATACACACACAAACACACACACACACACACTCATATATATATATATATATAGATATAGATATATAGATATAGATATAGATATATTGTAGTGCAAAAAGCGGTACATTTGTTTCAAGTTTAATATTTCAGAATTATTGCTCCATATCCTACTAGGATATGCAGACTTTTTTTTGCCTTTTGGTGAGTGGATGATCCAATTGTACAAAAATATTGCTTAAGTTCAATTAAGTAAATATTAAAGTCTGGCTTTCTCTTTAGAGTGCAATTTGGCTAACATAATTAGAAGATTGATAAGGAAGATTTTGGGATACATTTTACTTAGCAGCTGAAAACCAAATAGAATGTTTTCCATAGAAGTTGAAAAGCTTTTAAAATATTTGAATCAATAGTTGCAAAGATGTTGCCAGAAGGTCTTAGCGTATGGACACAACCAAAACAGATGATAACAGCTTCTAGAAGAAGATCACAAAAAGTGCAGTTTACAAAAATATCAGAGTGGAACTTCTCTTTAGGTAGTGTTTGACAGGATAGATCCTGTGAACGAGTTTGTGTGAAACTTCCTTCACTTTATTAGGGAGGAGAAAGTTATTAGGTAATGGCCAAGTATATTTTTTATAAATATGTTACTCTCCAAATTTATTCCTAGTAGGATATGGAGATATTCATAATTCTGAAATATGATACTAGAAACAAATGTACCCCTTTTTGCACTGCAATTTTTTTTCATTTATGAAAAACACCTTGACTTCAGGTTTGGATCAATATAAAGAATTCTAATCTTTGTTCACATCCTTCACACTGCACTGCATGACTAGGAGGGCCCTAAGCAAGGAGGTCACCCTGCTGAAGTACATTTATACAAAACCTACTAGCCTCTTGGATAAAATTAGAATTTTGACTTTAAGTATTTTCCTGAAATTACATTCCTAACTATTATTTGGCAGTATGATTGTATAGATAGTTAAAATCCAGCCTCTTGCTTTATGTTTTTGCTTAACTGCATATAAAGAAGAATATGTGATTAGAAAACAGCCCAAACTACAAATAAAAACTTAATTATTCCACTCTACACTTCATACATATTGTATTTTGCTCTTTATTTAATAAACACCAGGGTGAAATTGTGAAAAACATTGCATAAATGTAATAAGATAATTAAGTTAGAAAAACATACAACTTCATAGTTCTGAGGGCTAAAATAATAACATTTAAAAGTAATTTAAAAAGAGTATGAAAAAGAAATGGGGGCGACAGTGGCGTTGGATGTAGGAGTTTGCCCTGAAATCGAAGGGTTGACGGTTCAAGCCCCGACTCCGACTTTCATTGTCGTTGTGTCCTTGGGCAAGACACTTCACCTGCATGGTGGTCAGAGGGCCCGGTGGCGCCAGTGTACGGCAGCCTCGCTTCTGTCAGTGAGCCCCAGGGCAGCTGTGGCTACAATGTAGCTTGCCACCATCAGTGTGTGCGTGTGTGCGTGAATGGGTGAATGAATGTAGTGTAAAGCGCTTTGGTCAAGTCTCCTAACTTGAATAAAGGCGCTATATAAGTACATGCCATTTACCATTTACCAAGAAATGTCCACATAAGTTAGGTGGACTGTTATAGAAAATCAGAGCAATTTTCTTTTTTGCTCTAATTTACTCGTGATACAGGCTCTGATAAATGTAATTTGCAATAGATATGAAAGATGTATTTATGCAAAGACGGTCAGAACAAAAACAATTAAACAGATTTGTATTAATTATATTATTAAAAATATTAAATCAGCATGTTGATATACCTACTATTTGGGTCCTTCATATGTGCATGACTTTTTTAAAGATAATTCACATACCCCTGGCTGAAAATGTGAGTGTAAATTTGTTTTCAGTGTGCAGTCAAAGACTGCAGATGTCTGCCAACTGGCTATCACTCTCAGACTTTTTAAAGGTCACCCCTGTATCACACAGAGCGACCATACATAGACCTTACAAAATCAGATTAACCATCAAAAACTGTATTAATAAATTCCCATTCACCATTCTTGTGATTTAACAAGGAAGTACTTCTGTATAATCCCTGTGAGAAACCTCAGCTTTTTGGTGCTGCCAACTGGGTGGGTAAATAAAAGAACCAGGCCTGCATTATTTCTGAGGCCTCTTCTTTCTTTTGGTCAGCAAGACCAATTAGATGGCTCCCAAAGTACATTTATATTCAAACTAACTTAAAAACAAGGATAACTGCCCAGGTATGTGGTATAAAGGCAGATGGTTATGTGTTTTTTTTTTTGTGTATTTATTAATTTATTTTTTACAGTTCATATCATCTTTTTTTTTTTTTTTTAGCAAGTTTAGATAAAAAAAATTGGATGAATAAATATTTAAATCTAAGCAGAGTGGACTCACGATTGTTTCCAGAAGAATTTGATTTGGGCATTCATTTCCAGTTTGGACCAGAGGCCAAAACAAACAGCATGCATCATCTACAAACAGCGTGTATTTTATTTTCTAAAAGCTTAAATATCTATGCACTGTACACACTTACTTTAATCAGTTAACTTTATTCCAGAGCCAATAACTTAATCTCTCACACCACAACATGTTTTTCTCCCCAAAATGTGTAATACAGAATCAGTTTAACAGAGAAGAAAAGGGTACATTTTTAAAAGAATCTTTTTATAAGATCTCTAAAAATGTATATTGATTTACTTGCAGTTAAAAGTTGAATGATGTGGAAGAAATCCTGCCTTGTTCCAGTGCCAAAGAAGACTCAGCCATTAGTTCTCAGTGACTTTAGACCTGTTGCTCTGACATCCCACATCATGAAGGTTCTAGAGAGACTTTAGTTGGTTCCCTTCAGTAGGCAAACCAGCGACTATCAGGACCCCCTGCAGTTTGCTTATGGAGTTGGAGTTAATGATGCAATCACAAACCTGCTTCAACAAATCCATTGTCATTTAGACAATCCAGAGTCCAGACACCACTGTGAGGATCATGTTCTTCGATTTTCCAGTGAATTTAACACAATTTAGCCTAACTTACTTTTTGAGAAACTTCAGAAGACCCAGGTGGAGTCATCAACAACCGCCTGGATCAAAGACTACCTAACATACAGACTACAGTTTATTAGACTGATGGATCAGTTGTCCAATCGAGTAATCAGCAGCACAGGAGCAGAACAGGGGGCAGTACTCTAACTGTTCCTATTCAATCTGTACATGTCTGACCTCAGGACCAGACAGAGTCCTGTCATCTGCAGAAATACTGATGACTCTGCAGTCATTGGGTGCATTAAAGATGGACAAGAAGCTAACTACAGAGAGCTGGTGAACTGCTTTGTGGCATTGTGTGGAAACAATCATCTGATCCTGAATTTCAACAAAACAAGAGAGATGTTTGTAGATTTCCGAAGAAACAGAAAGAAGCTGTTAGGTTTATTCTTTATACATGATGTGCATTATTACTTTGTTAGCCAGATTAGACAGAGTAGAAGGCCTTCCTTCACATGGTGGATGTCATTGTGTGTACGGAGGTACACAGGACAGCCTTCGTGTCTTTAAAAATACACAGGATATGGGCACATCTTGGAGCCAGGCTGATAAAGAAGAGCTATGTGTAATCCTGTGGTAAAGAGGTAAGATGCATAAAGGTCAAGGCATGGATGGCGTGTCAGTTTCTGATACGGACAGCTAAGCATCCACCTGATGCAAAACATGGACTCATGGGGTATAAGAAGGAGGAGATGAGTTTGTTTGGGGCTCAATCTTGGCTCAATCTTTGCCCAATCTTTGCCGGACGCTCGCTGACGTTTTTTGAGCCCACAGCTGTGCAAACTCCAAGCAATTTCTCTGTCCTGTAACGACCT